ATTTATTTATTTTTTGAAATATCTAGCCAGTTGGGTGTATACCTGCTGCACAATACTGTGTATCTTTCAGCAAGAAAAACACTGACTCTGAAGAGCAAAGATGTGACACAACTAATCTGGTATGATGAGAATCTGTTCTAAGTGTTCATTTGTCTGGGGTAAGGGCATCATATACCTGTTCATTTAAGAAAATTGTGGACTGTTCCACAATATAAGGACTATTCTTTAGTTTTAAGTAGTGTTGGGTATTGAAGCCATGGCCTACAGCACCTTAGCCATTCACTAGGTGCTGAGTGCTAGAGCTGCGTCCCCCACTTATGCCATGAACTCTTCAACACATGCTAGTAGCTTGGGCTCCTTCTGTTGGTTCTCACAAGTGTGCTTCTCTGGGGCGGGGGGCAGGCTGAGCCTTCAGTTGAACCCAGGCACCTTGCTCTTTGACTTCCTTCTTTTTCTGATCATTTTCCTTGATGCCTTCCAGGCAGCTATCTCAGCTCTTGGAGTATGTGATATGCCTGACATGCACATTAATTCTCTTGTCAAAGACCTTACATTTAGCTTGCTTGTTTACAATGCCACCAGCATGCTGGGCCACACTGTAGACTTCCAGTTTCATCATGCTAACATCTGTGTGGCATTCATTTTTGAACAGTACCCATTCCTTTGATGTCTACATCGTCACCCTTTTTGTAGATTCATCTATCTGTGGCTAAAGTAATAACCTCATGTTTTCTAAAAGGCCTGGAGAACATACACAGGGTTCCTCTCCATCTTTCCTTTTGTGTTCTTTGTTTTGGCAAATTACTGCCAGATGAAAGAAAGGTTTTCTGGCTTTGCTTGTTTTCTTTTTTATTAGCGTCTTTGTTATATTTTCTACTTCTTTGTATTCCTAAAGTTGCCTTCACTCTGATTTTGTTAAAATAAGGCTATTCAGGATTTCTCTAGGCCAGTGGGCCTACATAACAACTGTGTTACCCGGAAGAGAAGGTTATGTGACCACCTCTTGTCCTGGATCCTCCTTTGTGCTTTCTTGGTGGTGTCATCCATTCTGGAAGACTTTGGGTTGCTGTCTTCATGCAGACAGCTGGCTAATTTTTCTCTGCAAGTTACCCTCTACTTGCTAAGCATTTGGTAGATTGCTCATAGAGAGGGCTATAGTACCTGAAGTAGAATTCATCTCCTCTGTGACATAGTGACATTCCTGTGTCTCAGTCCCTGAGCTGGAAACCTACCCATTTGCCATGTGTGGCTTCCTTCCTGCCCTTCCCGGTTGCCAGGTGTGCCAGTTGGTGCTGTGGAATGCCGGGCAAGGGCTGCTGCTTCCTAGTTTCTGCTTGCCCAAGTCCAGTTCAGGCCTTCCTTCCCTGGCTCTGGTGTTTTTCTCCTGAGACGCAGCTGTTGCTAGTCTCTCTGCCTCCTTTGACTCCCAGTCCTGTACCAGGTTGGTTTTTCCAGAGATACAATTCTGATCAGTTATTCTTCTCTTCTGCTCATTCATGCTTTAGCAGCTCCCTAACATCTTTAAAAAACAAAGCCAGTTTTCTGGGTCTTCCAACTTGTTTTAATTTCCTTGTCACTGCCTCCCTCTGTGTAGGTGGGACTTCAGCCAAATGGAGTTAGTTGCTGGAATGTGCCTGTATTTTCTGTTTACATCTCTGTTTTGGCTTGCTTTTGCCAGGAGTATGCTGTTCCCAGATTCTTAGTTCTTCCTTAAAGTCTTTTCTTAAGTTCTCTCAGATGTCCACATTGGAAGATAATTTTGTCCCCCTCTCCTCATAGTACAATAAGGTGCTAATCACTCCCAAGGTATATTGTTATTTCAACATGAATTTTTAAACTTAGTGACCTTTTATCCTTCATTCTGCTCAGAGGATTGACTCGGCCTGCAAGTTGAGACGTGGGTAATGACCTGGAGGAGAAACGGGCATGAAAAAGACAGGGCAAGAGACACGAGAGACGGAGACAAGACAGGCTTTCTGATCAAGTCTCGTTTATTGAGGAAGTGAACAGGGTCTAAATAGCTGTATAGTGGAAGTAGTTGGGTGGGACTAGTTGTGGATTGGTAGTGGAGGTCTAGGACCACAGGAAGATGTCGAGGCAAGCGGGGATTGGTGCTGCAGCACTTCTTGCCCAAATAAGGGAAAATATAACAGGAGCATTCTATCGCCCCCCACAGAGGATGAGTGCATTTCTGGATTAACCTTAAGCTGGTCTGGACCACTCTATACCATTCCTGTTTTCTGATGCTTCTCTAATCCCATCTCTGATGCTGTGTCCTTGCAGCTGGATTGTCCCTGAAGTACTTTTTACATCACTAAATGGCCTGTTGTCTTTGTTGCTTCTCCTCTCCTGAGTTAGTATTAATCTTAATTTAAAGAGAAGTGACATCTTTTGCTGAAGGCTGTGTGTGGGAAATTGGTGGGAGGGGAGGCCGTGGTGACATATCCACTGTCTACATGGCACTCACTGCAGCTTGCTGACCCAGGCAGCCACCCTTGTGTTCTCGAGAAGTGGCTGCCTGAACTGATGAATGGACATCTGATTGGGGTGATGGCAGGTAAGACTAGGGGACTGCAGTGTTGCCAGGTGTTATAAGCTTGTGAGCTACCTGGGGTTGTTTGCATTATTCTGGACATCAGTTTTGTTGTGATGAGTTGGTTTTGTGGATGAACTCTCAGGGACTCACTGGCTTTATCTCAGTGGTATCCTGCCTGTCCCAAGGCTCAACTTAACATAAATGCCACAACTTGTGCTCCATGTTAGTGCCCACAAGAGCTACTGGGTGATAGATGTTATGCAGTCTTTCAAAGCCATGTTGCCCCTGTTTTCCTGTGTCCCACAAGCTGAAGGCAAGAGCATAGTTCCTGATTTCCCGTTTCATTGCCTGTTTGGGGAGAGCTTTAGCTGAGGTGCCCCAAAGGAGCAAGCTAGTGTGCCTGTGAGGGGAAAGGGCTCCAAATGAAGCCCAGCACAGATGGTGTACTTAGCAATCTGGCCAGGAGAAGGTGACTGCAGAGCCCAGACGGGCACCGTGGGACCTTTGCCTCTGAGTATATCTGTGTGCTAAGCTTCTGACGGACAGCAGGAGGCCGCAGGTAACTGCTGCTGCTCATCAGTCTGTCTTTGGTTTCAGCTAGAGACACCGGAGCTGTCCACGGCAGGGAGAGCGCCAAGCTGAGGTAGCCCTAAAGAGAAGAGCTGACCTTTAGCCAAAATGAGCCATTCTGAGCACAGGCTGAGCTCCCGGCCCCTGGGAGCCCCCAAAGGTGGTGGTAAGGAAGATGGCGTCTGGAGGGTGAAGCATGGGAAGAATGGGAGTGGAGGTGGAGGGTGGCTCTTGGGACTGGAGGGGACTGCAGTTCTTTTGGTGAAATGTTAAAGATTCTGCTGTGTTTTTGTTCAAGAATTGGGTGTGGTTTCTCATTGTCTTAATTTATTGTTATATTGAGTGCAGGAGTTCAATTTCCTTTAGAAAAGTGACAATCTTTTAATCTTTTGAAATTTCTGTTTTTTAAAATTTTATATCTATAAACAGCAAAGCACACTGAACCCATTATTCAGATTTTGTTCCATGCATGTGGTGTTTACTTAGAAATCAAGTCCCATCTGTGTATATTTTATTCATGTTTCTTACCCATTCTTTTCTTTTACTGACTGAATCATCAAGTTGCATTTTCTTGTTAGTTTTTATAGATAATATTAATAATACTAATAGTAACAGAAAGGGATAATACCTCCAGTTTTAAATGCAGAGATGTTTGAAGAAAAGGGCTGACAGCTGTCTTGTATTTCTAGGTGTGTCCTCTGCAGTTTGCCCACTTGGTGCTGGTGCTTCGCCAGGTAACAAAAAGTCAAAGAACAAGTCTATGCGAGGGAAGAAAAAGAGCATATTTGAAACCTACATGTCCAAGGAAGATGTTTCGGAAGGCTTGAAGAGAGGAATGTTAATCCAGGTGCTTAAAACCTCCTGGCAAACTGTTCCTGCAGCAATCTACTGTTCCTTCAACTTGTTTCCTGTTCTGCACTTATGTGCTTAGAGGTGATGATGTAACGAGTGCAGGGCTTGCTGCTTCTTAGGCCTCTGGAACGTGTGGAACATTGAATAGTTCAGCTTGCCTGAAGCACACGGATCTGAATGGATGAGAAGACTGGCTAAGATTGCATGGAAACAGCCAACAGCCACAGACAGTATTTGTTGGGTGCCTGATAGTTTCCTAGATGTGTTCACAAGCTGGTGTGGGGGTTTGATTGAGTCAGTGTTTCCTAAGCATCTTCTGTGACAGAAAGGCACGTGCCGTAGGGTGCTTTTGTGAGGACCAAGGATGAGATGTCCTGTGCTTAGAGAACATCTGACTTAGATGAGTTGCAGCCAAGCAAGGGAATGTCATGTGAATGAGTGGTTTGGAATGAAATGCTCAGATAGAAGGGTTCCCAGGGTGGACCGGACAATGTTGGGATGGAATTGTGGACCGGAGCTCTGGAGAGGGCTCTACGCAGAGCTGTTCCCAGGGCTGGGTCCAGCAAGGTGAGCAATCTGGACCTGTTAGGCAAGTGACATGTTTGGGAGGGAGAGGTGGTGAGCTGCTGGGGTGAACAGACGGTCTGTGGAGTGACATGCACTCAGGCAGCCGAGGTTTCCTTGGGCAGGAAAGCCCAAGTGGGTGTAGGTAAGGATGCTGGGGAGGGGACCAAGGCTGTGTGTTCTTTGAACTAAGTCTGTTTCAAAAACTTTGGATTAATGTAGATATGCAGCCGGTACTCCAACTGCTGTACCTGAACCCCTGAAAATGTTGACTGTGTCTCATTTTCTTTCATTCTGACAGCCCTGTTTCTATATTTGTGCTGTTCACTGAAAGTCAGTCTGAAAATAGTTATTGTCACCTTCTCTCATGTTTTATGACCTTTCCTTCTTTGTGTGGGGCAAGTGCATTCTTGGTTGACCTAGAGTAGAAAACTGATTTTTAACAAGTGAGTTGATTTTTCTGGTTCTAGGAGTACCATTGCCTATTTTTTTTCTTAAGCTTTCCTTGGATTTCTTCAACAAGGCCCCTTTTTGGGGAGTGGGAGCTGCATGTGGACATAGCTTTCTTCATTAGTCTATTCATTTGCTCTTCACTGCTCAGTTGGGTCCCGAGCTCCATCCCCTTCAGTGTCCTGGCTTTCCTGGTCCAAGGACTTGTGTGTTACTCCCGCGTTCATCTCCCATCATTCTCTGGGAATGCTCTGCCCCATTCACCCTGAATTTGTAGAGTTGGCCTCTAAACCCTGATCTGGGACTCCTGTGATGCTGTCTTTGCTGTGACTCATGCTGGGGACACCTTCTTGTACTACCTGGATGTAATTGTGCTCACCTTTTCAGTCTCTACCTGAAGTCCCCCACTTCTCCATGCAGAGCTGGCTTCTCTGCCTTTCAAAAAGCAGGCTTCTTATTTACACATTAAACCCATCATCATTGCTTCCTTTTCTCTTTCTCCAAGTAGATGCTTCATTTCCTGAGGACAGGGTCATGTCTTATTTCACAAGTTTGCCCAGTTCCTGGAATTTGACTAATGCACAATAAATTTATGTTGAATAAATACTTTCGATTGAGCCAAATAAAGATCAGGGTACTGTATTTAATTTTTTAATTTTTAATTTATTTATTATTTATTTATTTATTTATTTTTTGTGGTACCTGGGATTGAACTCATGACCTTGCGCTTGCCAGGCAAGCTCTTATTCTATTGAGGGATCTCCCCATCCCAGGATACTGTATTTTGAAGAAGAGTAAGGAGAACCTTAGTTATAATTTGAATGAAAAGTAGCTTAGAATTTTGGTTATAGGATTATACAGAGACAGTGTGAGAATAATAGTGCAAAAATGGTATTCATTTTTTGCTCTGTTAATTTTTACGTTTGGAGTGATTCTTTTTGTTGATATTAAAACAAAACAAAACAAAAAGCAAAAATATGATCAATACAACTCTCATTCCCAGGAGTTTGTGATTCCTCTTGGCCTGTGACATCATGAGACTGTTGGCTACACATGGGAACAGTTGTTCTTTGCAGATGGGGCAGGAATAGGTTCCAGATATGAGGTCACTATGTGAACTATACACACTGTAAATAAGATTTTCATAGGCAGAGAAATACAGTCCATCTGCTTGCTGTGCGTGGGCCTTGCTGGGGCAGCACAGAGCCAGACAAGAAAGGCAGTGTTAATGCTGCTAGAGAAAGTTAGGTGATCCAATAGGTGATCAGACACACTTCCAGCTATGTATGTCAGGACCTTCTTTTTTGCCCCCCAACAGGAGAAAAATGATTTTATTGAGACTAGGGAATTTTAAAATTAGGAGTAGAATAATATCTTCTATGTTGACCAGAAATTTGACATTTCACTCTTTTGCACTGTGTAGAAAAGAGGAAATCATCATGACCAAGATAGCTCATTTCTGTATTTGAAATTGACCAATAGGCATGCATGATCATGCATATGCAAGTTTTTATTTTTGCTTTTTAGTTTCTGAGACAAGATCTTACTATTTAGTTCACGTCGATCTTGTACTTTTTTTTTTTTTTTCATGGTAACAGGGATTGAACTCAGAACCTTGTCTGTGCTTTGCAGGTGCTTATGCCACTGAGCTATCTCCCTGGCCCTCATGTCGATCTTGAACTCACTATGTAGTACAGGTTGGTCTTGGATTAGTGGCGATCCTCTTGATTCAGTCTCCTGAGGGCTGAGATTATAGGTGTATACTCTACTAGCCATGCAGTTTTGAAGTGTTTTTAATGCACGGGTTCTCTTATCCAAGAGTCATTTCTGTTTCTGCAGGTGTAGTGTGAAGGTTGTTGTAGGAGATGTTGGAAGGTAAGTGGGGGGCAGGCATGCTTGGATGGAGTTCCTGTTTGGGGTCGTGATCAAGGTGACATGGGTGTGAAGATGAGAGAATTGGCTGTTTCAGAGCTAGATGAAGCTTTGGCTCAAGGAAGATGAGCCTGCAGAGCTGCCTGAGGTGTGATATCAGAGTTTCTCCTGGAATAGAATATTGGTGTGATAGTGTGATTGGCAGGGTGGATTTATTTTTTAAATTATAATTTATTTATTTACTTGGTACAGGGTCTCACTATGCAGCTTGGACTTGTAGTGGTGGCAGACATGGCATACCTGGGGTTTGGAGCAAGCATGGTATGTGGTACCAGGGATTGAACCTGGGTCCTTGCTCTCTCCAGGCAGGCACTTAGACCTCCAAGCTATCTCCCTGGCCCGTGATGGTATGATTAGACTTCTGAGAAAATTCTTGTCTAGGAAGATGGAGGGCAGGGTGAGCTGGTTTCTGGGACCTTTCCCCTTTGGTAAGAGTGAAATCAGCTGGAGAATGTTGGGGGTAAATTCAAGATGAGAAGAGTAGAGGTCGCTTTACAGTAGAATGCCTGTTTCTTCTGAAGGAAGAGGTAGTATCCATAACATTAATACCAGGGGCAGTGGGAAAACTTCAACTCTGTGTACATTAATTAATTAACTCAACAGTCTAAATGCCAAACATATACACACTGACCAAGATAAGAAGTCCCTGGAGATGTAGAAAAATTAAGTAATCCAGAAGAGATTATAGACTGTTAGGGAAACACAGATGAGAGAGAATAGTTGGGAATACCTCTCTGAGGTGGTTATCTGAGCTGAGAGCAGCCAAGAATGAGTCAGACATTTTAAGGCTTAGGAAAAGATGCAGGCAGAGAGATCATGATGGAAGATGGCAAGCGAAGAGGGCTTGGTGTTTTGAGGTGCAAGGAGGAAGCCTGTTGGAACATATGTGGACAGAGGAAATTATAAGCTGCAGAGTTAGGCAGCAGCCCAGGATACAGGGTCTCTTGGCTGTGCTGGAGAGTTGGATTTTGTTCAGAGAACACTAGAAAGTCATTGAACGGTATTAGCATCCTGCACACAGACCTGTTTCCTGTCTTAAGACACCTCTCCAGCTATCACAAAGTGGAGAAAGTGGAGTGGAAGCTTCAAGACTACTTAGGCAGCCATTAGAATAAAGTTGGTGAGAACATGGATGCAGGCAAGGATAGTGGCAGCGAGGATGGAGAGCAACGGGTGGACTTGGAGCTCAGGCCCACACAACATACTGACAGTTGGACATGGAAGGGAAAGAAGGGGAGGAATCTAATGTGACTCCCTAGTAAGTGTTTAAGTGCAGCAATTGGATGTTGTCATAACCAATATGGGGAGGCTGAGGGTTGCAATGTGGCGTTGACTGTGGGGAGATCAGGAGAGTGGGTATCACACATGAGTGAAGAGACCCTGGGAGCTGTGACAGAAGCAGGGTGGCATCTGCCATGGCCAAGAGCTGAGGAGACTGAGGGGCTTGGTGTGGCAGGTAGTGCACAGCTTACTTGTCCAGTCAGTGCCCCCATTTTCTTGACTGCTAGAATATGGCAAGAGTGTAGTATGGTAAAGCTTGGGAGGGTTAAGTTAGTTCAGAGATGCAGAACTCTGCACGTTCTGTGTGGCCCGTGCTGCACCTATGTAAGTGGTCCTTGAGATCATCTTTATTGCTGTCAGAGGGGCATCTGTTCTGTAGCTCAGGTGGTTGCTGCCATGTGCACATAGCTGTCCACAGCTGCTAGAGCTTATGATTTTTTTCAAGAAAATACATATTTTTTATGTGTGAAATTCCTCAGCTTAAGCATTCTCAAACATCCTATAAGCCAAATAAAACATGTTTGTGATTGCCAGCTTGGACTAATTAGCCCAGTTATGTGGTATTTTTCTACAGTACCGTTCAGCTCTGCAAGTGTAGGCAGGGGAAAGGCAGATAGTGGGAGCCACTCAAGATGGGGGCTTTTCAGGCTGAGGAGAAAGAAGGAGGCCCAAGGCCCAAGGTCTGTGGGTGTGAGGTAGTGGCAGGCCGTAGCATGTGTGGAGCCACGGGAGGGAGTAAATTGAGGGTAGGACAATGAAATGAGTAGTAAAAGTGTGGTCTGGGCTGTGGTTTGGCCGTCTTGGTGAAATTGAAGAATTGTTGAAGTGGTGTTTCCACAGTGAGTTGGAAGGACAGTGGAGTGTCATCAGAAAGACTATTTGGCTTTTTGTATTTGGAAGTAAAGTGGTGCTGATGACAAGGGACAGGTGGTGGACATGGCTGGGGTGAGAGGAAAATGTGGTTGCAGTGACAGTTTGGGGTGGTCTTGTCATTGGCATAGGCAGAAAATCCTAAAGGAGTTTACAGGAGTAGGGGTGGGACATCCAGCCCTGAGTCCAAACAGTGAATTAAAGCAGTTAGCAGAAAGTTTGAAGATAACAGCATTAAGGAATACAGCAGGAGCTAATGACACAGCTTCAAAGGATTTGGAGGTTTTGAAAGAAAATATAGGGGGAAAAATGAAAGGTATGATAGGGAAGTGGGGAGAAGACAGTTTCCCCCCAGTCCTGGAGATCCATATGTGTGAGCAAGAAAGAGTCTCTTGTGAGCATGCCAGGGAGGTGATCAGCCAGACACAGGCAGGCTTTGACTTGGCAAGGAGGTGCAGGAGCAATCGAGCTGCCTCTGGAAGAAGAGTTGGGCCCCTCACTGGTCAGGTTCCAGGCCCAGGAGAGTGTTAGGAAGGAGAGACAGTGCCTCAGGTAAAGCTAGGGGCTGACTGGAAAGTAGGAAGGTGAAGCGCATGTGTGAAGTCTGCCCCAGCTGCTCCTTTGTCTCTCCTCCATCAGGCCAGGCCGTCATCAGTGGTCCTGATCATCTGTTGTGGGCCCTGCTGTTGGAGCTCCTTTCTTAGAATGACTGTGTTCTCCAGGGTCTCTTCCTGAGGTCCACTTTTTAAGAATTGTGCTCCTATCAAATCTACAAATGCTATTCTGGAACAAGGCTTTTATCCATGTGATATGCTTTTCTGTATTGGGAAGTTTAGGACAGGGAATCAAGAATACCATCTTTAACATGCTTTGCATGTCTTTTAGAGTCTAGAAACAGCTTGGGCTGCTTGGGCTCACCATTAACTTCTGAATACTCAGTAACTTAAGGCACATTCAGAGCAGGAACATTTTCATTCAGTACTTTTTTATGTGCTAACCTTTTGCTGAACCAGGAGGGACTATGGGAGAATAGGAATTAAAAAAAGAAAAATCTGCCTGGATCCAGAGGACCAGAAAGTAAAATTGTGGAAAATATCATTTCAGTGAATCTACTTTTGTTGTCTGGGGTTTCTTCCCCTCCCTAGATGGAGGCCTGAGAAGGTAGAGCCTGTCTGTTACTCTCATTGTGCTCCCGCCACTGAGAGTGCCTGTTGTCTGAGTTGTCAGCAAATACTTATTGGCTGGGTGAATATTCTTGATCAGTGTAAGTCTCCCCATCTTTCCCAAACAGTTCCAGCTGGGCTAGTGGTAAACCTGCTCCAGCCCTCTTTATATGGAGGCCCCTTCACTAACCCTGTGCAGAGTGGCGGCCTTCTCACCCACTTCTGCTGTCCTCCCTGCTGATTTCCCTGCAGGATTTGCAGTTCCCTAAGGACAAGGTCAGGTGCCATCGCTGAAGCCTGTCCTAGTGCTCAGCTGAAAGTAAGCTGCACCCTCTGTTGATGGCAGTCTGCACAAGGATCACACTTGTTTATCATTCTGTTTCCTATTGTGTCTCTCTCTGAGCCTTTGACCATAGCCAGTACTTGATAAATAACTAGGGACTGGATGGTCGTTTGTAGTAGTGTACTTGGAATGGAAATTTGTAATTTAACCATGGTACAGCGGTGAAAGAATGAAATTATTTTCTGCCTAATATTATGCCTTCACCTATTTTGTGAATTATATATCTTTGAGTCATTTGCTTTAGGAGCAGAGGTTATTTCAAACACTTTCTCAAGTTATCCTTTGAGTCTGGCTGTTAGGAAAATAACTGCTTCCACCCATGTGTTCCAGTGGGCTGCGAGTGCAGCTGGAACCTGGGAGGCTTATGGCTTCCTGCAAAGGCCTGAAACACTGAACTGCTATTGAAGACTACTCCCATGTGCGCCCCTGTGCATAAATAGAAGCGGACCCTGATTTGGCGCTGGAATAACATGAAGTCAAAGGCAGACTGGGTGGCCTGGCTATTGGAGCCAGCATTCCCTTTTGCGTTAAGAGCTGGTTGTGGACCATTTTGAATTATTGACTCATTTAGCTCTGCAGAGGGGCCAGAGTAAAGCTCATACATGCCTTTCCCTGAGCCTAAGTTGCAGGTTGGAAATAAGCTTGTATCACTGCACATTTTCACAGAAATAAGCACTTTTGAAAAGGTCTTGGAAGAGGGGAGGATAAAAAGATTATTATGCAGCGAGGCATAATGCCTAGATAACCTGTTCTTAGAGTGAGGGTTTCAGTGTGAAGATTGGCATATAGGTGTCACTTTCCTACTCTGTGCATCTCTGCTGTTTCTCATCTTGGTGAATTTGCAGTGAAGTATCAGTCCCAGTGTGAAGTTTTAGTGGAATCTGGTATTATATGCTCAGTGTAGGTCAGGTTCCATGCATTTAATGAATATTTCTCATACCTTTAACTTGTTTTCTACATGAATTTTTTTAAATAGATCTTTATTGGAGAGTAACATACATGTGGAAAAATCATAAATATACAGCTAGTTAGATTCTCACAGATTTTATTTTTGTTTTAAAGGGTGTGCTGAGAATTAATCCAAAGAAGTTTCATGAAGCCTTTATTCCTTCCCCGGTAAGTTCAGTAATTTTATAATAAACTTAATGTCACATTTAATTTTTTAGATGTGCTCTGAAAGTGAAATAATATATTCTAATTGAAAAGCAGAGTAGTAAAACAAAATTGAGGATGGGCAAAGATTTGTTTCAGGTTTTTAAATAAACAAAATTTGCCTTTGGTTCACCACCCTTTCTGCCAGTCTTAAAATCATGCAGCAGATGAAAGGACCAGCATTTGTTACAAGGCTGGAGAGCAGCTGGACCTGGACAGACTAGCTGCCAGCTCGAGTAATTGGATGCCCTTGGTTTATAGCTTAAAAGGATTTATGCTTTTTTTCCACTGATTTAAGTTAATCTTTCCTAAACCTGTATGCTATCTACTTTCGATCTACTGCATGAGCTAATCTGAACATTTGTCCAAAAATAACGTGCAATGCTTTTTTTTTTGGTTGGAGTTTCTCACTTTACTTTTGTGCAGGTGATGGGGTGGTGGGAGGCTACAGACCCCTTCTTACATTCATAGCCATGTTAGGAGGTTCTTTCCAGATAGGGCAAGTTCTCACTGGGCTAGACTTTGCAGCACGTCTTTAGACAGGCTTGATTTTTTTTTTTTTTTGTCTTTCATATATATTTTTAATGTAACTGGACACCTACCAGAACAAATGACCCAAAAACTCATTGTCAAGAAAACAAAATGGTATAGATTACATAGGGAAAAACATTCTTCAAAAATATGTAAACATTTCAGATAAATTTAACATTCTTCTTTGACAAAATTATAGGTGTAAGCTATAGAAGACAACAATGCCGCCTTCCCTATATCCTCCCTTTTCTTTCTTTCTTTCTTTTTTTTTTTTAAATGTACTTAGTACAGGGTCTACAGGATCTCAGTTCACAGATGGGACTTGTAGTGATCCTCCTGTTTTCAGCCTGCCAAGTGCTGGGATTACAAGCCCATGCTACCACACCCTGTCTCAGCCACTGTCTCAGTGCGCTCTGGGGGCAGGGCCAGCACAGCACACCAGGGTTTGAACCTTGGTCCCTGTGCCTGCCTAAGCAGGCACTTTAGTCCATTGAGCTCTCTGGCCTCTGCCCCACACCATTTTCTTTATTCATTTTCTGCCTTAATCCTCAACCAGCATTTAGTAAGTGAAACAAAATGCCAGGCAATGTGCAGAGCAGCCCTTTCCCTCAAGTAAAAACTGATCCGGTGATTATAGCAAACAAGCAATTTCATTACAATAAACTTACATATTCTAATAGATGAAAATAGTAGTTGCATTTGTGTCTGAAGGAAGGTCTCGATACCTCCATGCACATGGAAATCTCTCCTGATATTACTTGAATGATATGGACAGGCTTGATTGTGAGAAGTGGAGAGAACAATGTTTTTCAGTTTCTGACCAAACTTCTCTAGATGCTGTATGGATAGCTACAGAAGTATAGGTTTTTCACAGTAGAAGAGATAAACTTATATAGGGATAAACTTCTTACAGATGAGTAAATGTCATACCCCATTTCAGTTAGTGTATTTCATGTGTGAAATGACAAGTTTCATGAGAGTGTATGTCTAGTCATCTATTTCATAGGTGATAGTATGATTGTTGTTATAGTAACTTCAAGACCTGTTTTCAAGCCCTACTTAGTGCCTTTCCCACTCTCCTTCCAGAAGCCAAGAAGTCTCCTTTGCATCCAAGTAAAGGTTCTATTCACTGGGTTAGATAAAAAACGTTACTGACATGTCCCATTATTCTCTCTTAGTCACCCTGTGTTCCCATGGCAGAAAACAGTGTGTTTCCTGACCCTGGAACTTGAGTTTGCAGAAGTGAGGGTGAGCTCTGAGGTGGTCATGTAGCTGCAGGAGCAATTCTGTCATACAGGGAAATGCAGTTTACATGGTGTTAGACTCTTCTGCTTAAGGAAGAGGTGAAGATCATGTAGAGAGATTGTAGAACTACCCATGAGCATCACCTAGGAAGTCATGCTGTTGGAGATGCAGATGCCATCCCTCAGAAGTCCTGCAACATCAGCATCTTCTCCACATTAGGAAGGCTTTCATTGATGGCATACCAGTTGGAGGGGCTTAACATATTAGGAGCCCTTGCCTGTGGAAAACATGGATGTTTTAGCTCAGTGGCACAAGTGCAGTGCCTGCTTGGCAAGTGCAACATCCTGAGTTTGATTCCCAGTACTAAAAAAGAAAGAAAAAATGAATATGTAAGGATTTGATTATAGTAAGGAGTCCATCCCAAGAGCCAGATGTGAACTGAGTAGATTTCAGACCTCCTTTTCTGTGTACATGGAGGTTTATCCTCATCGATTAGAGCAAGAGGGGGGCTATGACATTTAAAAATGTTACTGCTAGCTTTGTCTCTCCCATAAGTGTAGAGCCATGAGGTTTTCTAAGTTAAGTCCTTGTTATGTCAGCACTTAACAAGTGTGAGGCCTAGAATAGTATAAAATGAGGCGCACATCCCTTATATCAAGTAGTGAAAAGCTACAAATTGTATTAACAAACTTCCAAGTAAAAAATATTTATAACAAAGTATATTCCTTGCAAAATATGCCTCCATGTACCTGTTTTGTTGAAATGTAGAATTCTCAGATTCCTTGGTGCTCCATGATGAACTGTGGAGAGGCTCTGGCTCTGGCCTTCCTCTTTCCCGCTGTAAACCTTGCTTGCTGTCCTCTCATGGCTTCCTTACTGTGAGTGAGGGCTCTGCATGCATATATATGGGCATCCTACGCGTGCGTCTAAACTCTTTGTACCCCTTAGAAATATCTGTCATTTAGGTCAGCCAGTGAACTTAGGACTGATTACTCCATGTTTAATATCTTTAAATGTCTCAGATGATTTGGATCTCAGAATTCCTTGTCTGATGGAGAAGTGTGTGGGGTTGGGCTATGTTCCTGCAAGTTAGATGAATATACTTTACTTTGCAAATGACGTATCTCCAAGATTCCTGGCTTGTTAAAGGAAATCTGGGAAGTAAAAGCAAAAGTTAGTGATATTTCAAAAGCGTATGCTTATTCTCCTACTCTAAGTTGTATTCCATGTCTTATTTAGTAATTTTTAGACAGTTGTGATGTTAGGATTTGCTTTTTCTATACACCTTTTATCCATTTATCTGGTCCCTAGAGTTGCGATATTATCGCTACTGTAGTAAATAATTTATCTCTAGGTAATTAAGAATAGGCTGTAAGAGCTTCTATTAAGGCACAGTTGCAAGTGATTTTCAATACTCTAGCTTTGGACACTGAAATAATCCTATATTTTTCTTTTGATCATTTTCAGTTTTCAGAGGCATTATAGAAGGTAATTGAGGGGCCAGAGAGATAGCGCAGTGAGTCAGGGCGTAGTGGCACATGCTTGTAATCCCAGCGCTGGGGAGGCTGAAAGCAGGAGGGTCACCACGAGTCTTAGCTGTGTAGTGAGACCCTGCAACAACCAAATACATTAAAAAAACAGAAACAAAAACAGAACAGTTGAAGAGAAAAATAGTAATAGTAGAGGCAGTAAATTACATGTGGATAAACCCAGCCATTAGTGCCTGGACTTCTGAGTAGATGCAGCCAGTGTCCATGTCAGCTGTGAGTTTGTGTGAAGGAAAAAATGCTCACAGGTTGTGTAGGTGGCAGGATGTCAGAACCAGGCCTGTGCTTTGATTAAGTGGGGAGAATAAAGACAGAAATTAATATTAAAGAAGATGTGGTCTCTGCTCTGACAGTAGGAAATAAGATTTCTGTATTTGTAAAATGAAGAGGTAGGTTAAATGTTGACTAATATTTCTCACACTTTAAAATTCCAAGGTTTGTGGAGAGAGGAAAAAAGATTTTATTGTTAGATTTATTCCCAAGACAATAGGCTAAAAATAATGAGTTGATCAGGAGGTATAAAATAATAATTTGTTAGGAGGAAGTTGACTCAGGTTCATTACAATTTTTATGGATGGAAAGCTGATTTGTATTTTCTTTCTTTTTTTTTTTTTTTTTTTACAGTGAGGGAAGCTTTTTTTTTTGGGTTTTTTGCAATTTTTTTTTTCAACAAATAATACACTGCATATATTCTTCTTAGTGGTTAATTGCTGTACAAGATGCGGACTTGTGATCCTATTTACAAACACCATTAGAACAAATCATTCTATTCATTAACAGAATGTAACTATATATCTATCCCAACCACTTTGAATACACAGATACAAAATGGACATTCATCTGTATACCCCATTTTGATTTGTATTTTCTTATGACAAACAAGAAAAAGTAAAATTCAGAGTAAGAGTAAAACCATGTGACTTTCAAGACAGCCAAGATAAAAATTATATTATTAAGACATCTCTTTATCCTGTTTGAGAATGGATAAAAAGGAGAAACAGGCCAGATGGGAAAGCCGGTGGTTCTTTCTTCTTAGCACAGTTTCTATTCTGCATGTTTGGTCTAAGAAGCTTTGTAATTGTGTTCTGCTCCTTGCCAGGGAGCCACCCCTTATTTCTGGTCCAAAGGGAGCTTTGCATCACTGGAAGGTGCTTGGCCATCACGGCACGCTTAGATTGTCCTCATTCACCCCTTCTCCTCAGTATTTTAGGTTACCCCCAAATCCTTTTATATTTCCCCGGCGGATGTTCTCTCCCCTTCCCTCCTGCCTCTCCCCTCCTCTCCTTCATTAGAAGGACGATTTAAACTTAAACCTCCTCACATTTAGTGTCTTTAAAATAAGAGATTGAATGAATCAAGAAGAGCTGTGTGCTGAGGGAATGCCTAGAGGTTGGTGTGGTGTCTGAGGTTCAGCTCAGCCCTGCTTTCCTTGGTGTCTTAGGAGATGAAGGTGACAAAGCCATGATCCTAAGCTTAAACTCTTGAGCGCCAGGCCCTGGTGGTGGCTGCTAATGAAAGTGATTGCATTGCTTATGTTCAACACACGAGATCGGGTTAGACTGACCTCAGAACAGTTCTCTGTAGTCTGAGGAGGTGCCCAAGGACATATTGCTTTATAAGCTGCAGAAAGTGGCTGTGATGACAGTGGGCTGCACTCAGCTAGCTGTTCACTCGGCTTGCTCTCTTTTTACTTCTCTGAGAAGCTCTTCCTGAGGTCTGCTGCAGCTATTCTCCATGGTGAACACAGTAGCTATTCCTCGGGTCTGGCTGTGTGTGTGTGTGTGTGTGTGTGTGTGTGTGTGTGTGTCTTTGTGAGTGATCAGGTTGGCAGGGTGTCAGGCACAGCTACCAACCCATAGCAAGATTGGAGACTGAACAAAAAACTGTTCTGAAAGATCATAATTTATAATTGTAAACTATTAAAAAAATGCTAAATGCCCCCCCCTTGGTAATTTTGGAGTGCCGGTTTTAACTCTCTAAAATTTTGCAGTAATACCTTCAGCTCTTTGAGCATTAAATCTTGTCTATATTGCATGTCTCTTTGGACCCTTTTTCTCATCTCCCATAACAAAAACTAACCTTTGACTTTTGTCTTCTGAAAAGATGCCTGTAATGTGGGCTTCTTGGAAGAAAATAGTGATAAGAGCTTATGTATGTTGTGAAGCATTTTTAAAAAAAATGTATTTAAGTACAGGGAATATAGGGTCACACTAACGCAGATCCAACTCATAAGTGATCCTCCTGTTGTCAGCCTCCCAAGCACTGGGATTACAGGTGTGTACCACCACTCCCAGTCTCAATCACCATTTCAGTGCGCCCCGGGGGCGGGGCTGGCATAACGCATCAGGTATTGAATCCTGGTCCCTGCACCTGGCTAAGTAGGTGCTTTAGTCCGCTGAGCTGTTAGACTGGCCCATGGTGAAGCATTTTGAAGCTGTTTAACTTTCTCCCTTTAAAGGCTAGTCATTTTAGTAGGCTTTGCCGCCTAAGGGATTTGCAGAGCAATTCTGCTTCTCAGGAAGAGCCCATGCCTGTTGAGTGAGAGGTGCTGCCTCTGTGCCTGGTTGGCCTCTACTTGGAGTGGAGTGGGTGGCTTCAAATTGATGGATTGAGGGACAGAGAGAAAGGGGCTGCAACTGGTACTCACTGTGCTCCTCAGCCAGAGAAATGGGGTGCAACAACATTTTGTGAATGTCTTATTTTTCCTTCCTGCTCTCTTTGCCTTCTCCTCTGTCTCCATATAAACCACAGTTGGTTTTCTTTGCCACTTTCCTGATGGGCAAAATTACTTTGCTGGTTTCCTCAAAATCTTGCCCTCACTTGCTTCACTGGGGGGATTATTGTGTATATTGTTTGCCTTCCGTTGTCTGTATCTTTTTTTACCCTTCCTTGATATTTTCTAAAAAATTTATTCAGTATAAAAGTATCAGCATGCTTTCTTTTAGTTAAAACCAAAAAATAATAACTAAGAATAAATAAGACCTTTCTCATTTCAGGACAAGTTTTTCTTTAGGTGCTTGTATTGATTTGCTTGTTTTTGTCCTACCTACACAAAAGCATACCTTTTGTGTATTTGGTGAGTTTCTGCATTCTCCAAGTCTGGCTTTAGGTGCTCATTGCCATTTCTTTCCATTCCCAAAAGACTGAGCTGCGTACTGATGTTCTTGGTAAGTCAGACAGATTGCAGAGTCTGAACATGTTAAACCAAGGGACTAGGTTTTGGTTCAGGCTTTGGTAAGATGATTTTGCCTTCATTTCTCTCTCCCGCCTAGGATGGTGATCGAGACATTTTTATTGACGGGGTTGTTGCACGTAATAGAGCCTTAAATGGAGATCTGGTGGTTGTGAAACTACTTCCTGAGGAGCAGTGGAAGGTGAGTTAAATTTTCCTTTTCTAATTATATTCTTTGTAGTGCCTTTTGTATTCCATGGTTTACCAATTATACGGCATCAACAAGGGAAGTCTCGGCTCCTGAGGCCCACAATGAAAATTGGTTATCACCTCCAACAAGGCTGCTGCGTGCTTGGCCTGGAGGCATCTGCAGAGCAGACATGTGACCATTTGAGTTGTTCTTGCTCCTGTCCAGTCCACCCTGTCAATGCCTTGGTTTCTGGGTTCCTTTTGAGTAGAAAAAGCTTGCAGGCCCAGTTGGACTTGGTATGCATTATTTCCCTAAACCCTGTGCTTTGAGATTTGGAGCAACCAAGCCATGGGGATGTTAGTTTTCTCTACATATTCCTGCTGCCTGAGCTAGAAAACCAGGGCAGTGTACCTGAGTGCCACCAGGCCTCATTGGTGATTGGGCTTCCCTTGGCAGATAAAAATAGTCTATGCAAATTTTTATAAAACAGATTTAGTGGCAGGGGAAAATATTTCTAATGTGAGAGTATTCTAGATTTTAGTTTCTGCCTGTGTCTGTCAATTGAAAAGAAAGATGTGGTTTGAGTTTTTAAATTAAAATTTGTGTTGTGGTTTTAGCTTTTACTACTGTTTTAAGTAATAGTAAGGGTCTGACATTGGAATATTTAGTGTCTTTGAAGGGAACGTGGAACTAGTGGCTTGTAGGTCTAAGTCTAAATGTGTCTTTATGTTGTTTGTTCTGTTTGGCTCAGTTCTTTGGTCCTCAGGAATTCATTGTCTTCAGTGAGGGACAGTACAGGGCAGTGATTTATAGTGGGAGCTGTGAGGTGAGGTTATGTGGGTTTAAATCCCTTCTCATTAATCTCTGCCACCTTCAGTGAATTATACAACCTTTCCACCTCAGATGCCTCATTTTTAAGGTGGGAGTAATTGCAGTACCTACTTTCTAAGTTTGTGATGAACAGTAAGTGAGGTTACTTACAAAAGCCATAGAGTAGTATCTAAAATTTTTAAAATAGTGGGACATTATTATTAGTGTTTCCAAAAAAACTGTAATGTGAGGAATACCACTTTGTCTCAGAACTTTGTTCAGGAGTACATTAAATTCATTTTTATCCACCTGGGCTAAAATAATTGATTACACTATGTGCTAGGTACTCATAGAAAGCAAGGATTTTAGTAGTGATCAGGATAAACATAGTTGGGGTTGGGGAGAAAGCTCTGCAGTCTCAGCACCTGCCTGGCAGGTGCAAGGACCTGGGTTCAATCTCCAGTATCACAAGCTATGCTGGCCCCAGAATCCTCGGTGTGCTGTATTGGCCCCGGGACCGTGTGTGGTGACACATACCTGTAATCCCAGTGCTGGGGAGACTGAGACAGGAGGCTTACTATGAGTCTGAGTTGCATAGTGAGACCCTGTATCAACAACAGCAATAACAATAAAAACAAAAGGATAGACATAGTTCTTGCATCATGGAGCTGACAATCTAGCAGAGAGTACAATGAGGGTGAAACATAATAATCATACTTATACAAATTTAGTTATGATTAGCACTGTGAAGTACAGGGTTTAATATGAGAGTGAATTTTTATAGTTGAGCTCCACCTCCTCACTCCCACCCCTACCGGTTGTGAGTATAACTCCCTCCCTGGGTTCCTTGAAAGCACAGTGAAGGCTTGGCTTCAGGTCCCACTAACATAGATTGATTCAGGCTACTTCCTGTTTTGGAAAAGCATCTCTTAGCATCACAGTGTTGTCCAGAGGAGCAGAGCAAGGCCAGCTGGAATCAAAGGAAGCATTCATAGAGGTTATGCAAAGGGTGAAGAGGTAGCATTTCAATGAAAATGAGCCACAGACATGGCAAGAAAATTTGGCTTCCTTTGATTTAAGGATTGTGACTATTACAATAGATGAAAGAATAATAGTAAGCTGGGTGGATGTCTTAGTCTGCTTTCTGCTGCTATAACTGAATGTCATAGACAGGGTAGTTTATTAAGATAAGAAATTTATTTCAGGGGCCGGGGAGATAGTTCAGTAGGTCCTGAGTTCAATTGCTGGTACTGAAAAAAAAAAAAAAAAAAAAATTCCTACAGTTCTAGAGACTGAGCAATCCAGTGCTAAGGGGCTGCATCTAGGGAGACTTGTTGCTGGTGAAAGGTGGCTCAGGGTATCACATGATGAGACATGGCAGGCTTGCTTATTCTAGTCTTTTTTTTTTTTCTGGCAGTACTAAGGATGAACTCAGGATCTCTGCACTAAGCTACATCCTCAGCCCTTTGTTACTTTTTATTCTGACAGAGGGTCTTGATATGTTGCTAAATTGCCTAGCCTGTGCCTGAAATTTTAATCTTCCTGCCATAGCAACGATCCTCCTGCCTCAGCTTCCTGAGTGCTGGGATTGCAGGCATGTGTCACCATGCTAGCTCTAACAGATGACTTTTTTTTTTTTGTGTGGAACCGGGGATTGAACTCAGGGCCTTGTGCTTGCCAGGGAAGCACTGATTCCACTGAGCCATCTCCCCAGCCCCTTAACAGATGACTTTTGAGATTAAGTTTCAGCATGAGTTTTGGAGGGGACAGGTGCCTATGTAGAAATACCGAAGAAATACTTAGAAAAAGGAGGAAAAAAATCTTCTAGAACTGAGTAGTGATTAGCAAGACCTAAGGCTGATATTACAAACTTCACTTTTTTTTTTTTTTTAATGCATTTAGTACAAGGTCTACAGGGTCTCACTACACAGATTGGATTCATAGTGTTTCTCCTGTTTTCAGCCTTCCAAGCACTGGGATTACAGGGACACACCCCCATGCCCAGTCTCATGCTGGGGATTGAACCCCAGTCCCTGTGTCTGCTTAAGCAGATGTTTTAATCCACTGAGCTATCTGGCTGGCCTTCCATTTGTACTTCGATGTACTAGCAATGAAATGGAAATTTAAAAAATTCTGAAAGTACCATTTAAAATAGAATCAAAAGTATAAAATACTAAGGAATAAACTTGACAAAAATATGTAAGACATATACACTTAAACTATTAAAACATTACTGAGAGAAGTTAAAAATAAGAATAAATGGTGAGAAATACCATATCAATTAAAAGGCACAATATTGTTTTTTTTTGTGTGTGTGTGTGTGGAACTGGGGATTGAACTCAGGCTCTTGTGCTTGCCAGGGAAGAACTTATTCTACTGAGCTATCTCTCTGACCCTGTGATATTGTTAAGATGTTATTTTACTTAAATTGATCTGTAGATTTGGTGTACCCACCCACCCCAAGACATCAGCAGTTTACTTATTTGAAATTACCTTGCTTATGGAACTATGTCCCCAGCCTGTCCCAAACCAGTGGGTCAGTCAACGAAGGTCACCTGGGGGAGGAGCGGGGAATTGAAGAGGGGACAAAGGACAGGAGACGCGAGAAATGGAGACAAGACAGGATTCTGATCAAGTCTCATTTATTCAGGGGAGGTGCTGGGTATATATAGTGGAGGCATAGGGAAATGACGTCAGCAGGTAAAAGGCACAAGTAACTAGGCAACTGGGCTATGACAGGAAGTCCCACCTCCTGGGCATAGCAGGAGACTTATGAGAAATAGGCGGGGTAAGAACTAGGAACCTAGCTCATGAGAGGTAGGGGAGGAGAAAGTCAGTGTCACTAATGATGCTGATGCACCAAGAGAATTTTATAGGTCAGAGGCACTCAGGTGACCATTAAGGGCTACATGGCAGTCATAATGTGGCAGATTCACAGGATTTAGAAAAAGATTCACTTGCAATAGTATTGGAAGCCTGGAGTTATTGTGCCTCCCACACCAGCCCGTTTATAAATTTTTACTGAGACTTTGCTAAGTCATTGAGCTGCTCAGGCTGGGCTTGGACTTGTGAGCTTTCTGCCTCAGCCTCCAGAGTGCTGGGATTATAGGATGACACTACTATACTTGACTAACTGACCTAAAAGAGCCAAAACAAAGAACAACGTGGAGAACATAACAGAGTCTGATTTTAAGACTTAACATTAAAGCTTGTGTAGTGGCCGGGGAGATGGCTTAGTAGAATAAGCACTTCCCTGGCAAGC